CGCACCAGGGTGCAGCTGCCTTAGCAGTTCCCTGCTCCAGCTTGCAAGATTGACTTCATACAAGACATCCCCAAGGAGAAGCTATATGGACCTATCCCGATGCAGCCCTGGGTGCTGGAGCAGCCGTGTGGAGACCCCTGCTAGTGCTGAGATGCTTGTTTGTTCATTGACTCAGCTTTCCTCCTGCAGTCGGCATCATTGCCTCTGTTTTGTGAGGTGGAAGATTTTGTGAACTGGTGTTGGGTTAATGGGTTAATGTTGGACTTGTGAGATTGGGCAGCATTGGCTTGGGATGTTTTCGTGATGCACCTTTTCTTTACATAAAACTCTCTTATACATGAGTCACCGTGGATTTGTTTCTCCAAAGTACCCAGACTAATACAGATGACTTTTTCAGGACCAGTGCTGAGAGGGGAGAGGCCTGGAGGGTGAAGGGAATGCAGAGTGGAAGGGGGGAGCCAATTACAAGAATCCTCCCTGGGGAATGGACAGCAGAGAAGGGGGCAGAGGGAGACATCAGACAGTGTAACTTATGACAAAACTATAATAATTTATAAATTATGAAGGGTTCAGGAGGGAGGGGGAGGGAGGGGAAAATGAGCAAACTATATTGAGGGCTAAAGTAGAGGGCAAATGTTTAGAGATTGATGAGGGCAACAGGTGTACATATGTACTTGACTCAATGGATGTATGTATGGACTGTGATAAGAATTGTAAGAGCCTTCAATAAAATTTTTTTTAAAAAACAACAAAAACATTTTATTGAGGGCTCTTACAGCTCTTGTAACAATCCACACATCAACTGTATCAAGTACATATGTTGCCATCACTATTTTCTAGACATTTATTTTCTATTGAGCCCTTGGTATCAGCTTACTCTTCCCCCTACCCCCCACCCTTGTGGTCCCTTAATAAATTATAAATTATTATTTTCATATCTTACACTGACCACTGTCTCCCTTCCCCCTGTGTGGGGGGGTGAGGTGGGGTGCAGGTGGGGGAATGGGGAGTGCAGTTTTGTGTTGATCATCGCAATAGTTTCTCCCTTCCTCCCCTCCTCTCCCCACCTTCCCCCTGCCTTCCTGGTATCGCCACTCCCATTCCTGGTCCTGGAGTCCATGTGGCGTAAGCTCTTATGTCTTATCTGTACCTATGCATATACTCCCATCTAGCTTGCAGTGAAAGGCAATACTAGGGTCAAGATAGTGGGGGGTGAGGGAGCCTTAAGGAACCAGAGAAGTAGTGTGTGTTTCATCGGTGCTTTACTGTGCCCTGATTGACTCATCCATTCCCTGTGACCCCTCTGTGAGGGGATGTCCCATTGACTACAGATGAGCTTCAGGTATCTGCTCGAACCCCTCTCGTTTTCAAAAGTAGGTTTTGTTTGTTTGTTTGGGGTCTTCTGATGCCTGTTACCCGGTCCCAGCGATACTTGAAGATCACACAGGCTGGTGTGCTTCTTCCATGGGGGCTGGTTGCTTTTCTGCTAGATGGCTGCTTGTTTCACTTCAAGCCTTTAAGACCCCAGATGCTTTATCTTTTGATAGCCGGGCACCATCAGCTTTCTTCACCACATTTGCTTATGTACCCATTTTGTTTTCAGCGATTGTGCGGGGAGGGTGAGCATCACAAAAAGCCAGGTTGTTAAAACAAGGTGTTCATATATTGTGGGAGGGCATTAGCAGAGCCCCAAAGTCTGTCCACAACCTCAGTATATTGCCATATAAATATATGTACCTTGGCCAATACCTCTATTTTTATGAATAAATGTATTAACATATGTACACACCTATGCTTATACCTCCATCCATAGCTTTGCTTCCTAGGTCATTCCTGTTTCCTTTCACTTTCCTCCTGCATGTAAGCCCAAAATTCGTGCCTGGATCTATTTTTTATCTGTGTCTGGCTCTCCTGAGAGACTTCCTTGTTAAGTGATGGTAGAAAATCTTATGAATCATCTCCCTAGAGCATAAGGATATTCTGTTAGCCCATGGTTCTAATTTTTAAAACAGTTCAGAGAGTGAAACTGAACCAATGTAGGCTAACTACATATCTCAATACCTAAACTATTCACTTGTACAGAATAAACCCTAAAGTAGTGGGTGTTATTTACATAAACAATGAAAGAGGTTATCAGATAAATTTTACAAAAATATTCGCTGACAATGTCAATCACAGCTCTGCCAGAATTTAAAATGGCAAGTGGGACACATTGATATACTCAGTCAAAGCCGGTCCGCGTACCAACAGTTCAATATTCTTGGTATAGCTGTCTTCTGCTTCTTCACATACCATGTAATTTCAGTTCTAAGTCCTCAGGTTACAGGTGTGTTTGAGGTAAAGTCTAACTTACTGAGCACTACAAGTGAACATTATTCCATTGAGACGGAATAATCAAATAATCCAAACAACATTTGGATGTTTTGATAGTTTCCAATTTTTTACAATTAGTGTGTTGTTGATTGTTGTTGTTAGGTGCCCGTTGAGTCCGTTCCAACCCATAGCAATCCTACATCCAACAGAAGGAACAATTCCTGTCCAATGCCAGACTCCCAGTTGTTTGAGCTCTTATTGCAGCCACTGTGTCAATCCATCTCCTCAAGGGGCTTTCCCTTTTTCCCTGCCCTTCTACCAGTACTAGTACCATGAAATCAATATTCTTCTTGTAGAAAATGTTTTCTGTTTTAGATATAGGGATTACAAAGGAAATGTTACCATTTACTAGCGAAGCTCTAGATATACATTGCTAAATTAGTTGCCAAAATTGCTCTAACAATTTTAAGTACTTCAGCAGTACATTCATTCCAGTACCTATCTAGCACTGAATATTCTTCATAATGTTATAAGAAGTAACCTGTGAGATAAGGCTAACTTGGTAGGGGCCTTGTACCATTTGGGGATGACCTTATAAACAGCTTCTCAGAATCAAAGATACCTCTTGTACAATAGTCACAGCATCTCTATCAAACACAACATAAACATTTTTACCTCCATTTCAATGGTGAGGAAAATGAAGCCAGCAAGCTTAAGCAATTTGGTCAAAGTCATATGATTAGTACCACACTGTGAGCTGAATCTAGATCTCCCAGATACCTATTCTTTCTACTAGTCACCGGAACAGCAGGTGGTTTACATTTTTTAAGTCCACCTGGGTTGACTGGCAGCAACCTACAATGATATACTGAGATGAGCTATGCAGCCTAGTCCATTTTCAGTTAGAAAGAGCCATGTGTGAAATTAAAGATATCAGCCATTGTGCTGACCTTGTCTGCTACATTGCCTCTCATAGCTGATACACTAAAACCTTCATAACTTCAAAACCAAAACATAAAACTTGACAGTAGTATTAAACAGAGTAAGTATAAACTATGGAACATAATCACTATACATAGTTGGATGACACCTTTTGATTTAAATAGACATCTTTAAACTCCAAAGAAAGTTTTATTTTATGTGGCATTTTTTTTCTCAAATGTTTCTTGAAAACTCAAGAGAAAAATGGTTATAAAACTAAGAATAGACTTAGCAATTAACATGTATGTATTTGTCAAAAATAGTTACCTGATTATCATATTTAAGAGACTGTGTCCCAACCAAAAACCGAATGGCATCTGTTTCCGCAGTTTGAGGTGTTAAAGCACGTGCCTGCAGGAGGGGGAAATCCATAAACATTCATGAAGCTAGGCTTATACATACAGATCAAAAGGCAGTTTATCTCCTCTGCTAGTGATGCAGTACAAATTAGTACAAAGTTTCTGCAAGGCAATTTAGAAATATGTGTCAAAACTCCTGTAAGTTTTTTTAACACAATTCCACTTCAAAATTGTATATGGGCACAAAAATGTAAATGTAAATTTTTTTAATATTCTGATGGCTAAATGTATTTAATATCACTATGATCTTCAATAGGAATTGACTGGTTAAGGAATTCTAATTCAACAGGAGGTGGGAATATGACATCAAGCAATAGAATCGATGGCTTAAACCTGCTACAGAGGAAAACCAGAAAAACCAAACAAAATACTCTACATGTTTCATGTTCTCAGAGAGCTAAAGACAATAAAAAGGAAAATTTGGAGAGAAGCATAGCAAGAGGAACACAACCCTGGCTTCCTTTTCACCAACGGCACTTGTCAACAGGGAACACCAGCTAAGAGGCTGATACTGAGGACCGCTCGTTTTCACAGATGTTGCGAGTTAAAGAGCAACGTGCAGGACCCACCAAGAATACAAGACTGGTAAATGTGCCAGGCCTTCTTGGCATTCCCAATTACAGCCTAGGAATAAAAGTGATCAAATTTCACAAAAAAATCCCAGCTTCAACTCATCCCCAATCCATGACTCGATTTTAGGCCACCTGGGGTTGCTTGTCTAGCTAACCTCAATACTGGGAGGGTAGAGGGAGAGTGAGTTGGACAGAGGGAACCGATTACAAGGAACTATATGTGACCTCCTCCCTGGGGGACGGACAACAGAAAAGTGGGTGAAGGGAGACATTGGACAGGGCAAGATATGACAAAATAATAATTTATAAATTATCAAGGGCTCATGAGGGATGGGGGAGCGAGGAGGGAGGGGAAAAATGAGGGCTTAATGCCGGGGGCTTAAGTGGAGAGGAAATGTTTTGAGAATGATGAGGGCAATGAATGTACAAATGTGCTTTACACAATTGATGTATGTATGGATTGTGATAAGATGTATGAGCCCCTAATAAAATGATTTTTAAAAAAAAAAGTCTTCCAAAGGAAGAGAGCATCAAAAGTTCCTACAATTTTTCATAAACAATGTCTAACAACTCAATTAAAAATGACCAATTGTACAATGAGACAAGATCATATGACCAAAAATATCCATATATTTATCCCTGAAAACTGTGAATATTATATCTTACATGGCAATGGGTCTTTGCAGATCAGATGAAGGACACTGAATTGGGATTATCTAATCACATGGGTTCCTAGGATTAGAGAGACTTTACTGGCCCAGTTAAGAGACAGATGTGTGACTAGAGGTGAGAAAAACAGAGAGGCAATAACATGAGGGAAACAGCCAGTCACAAAGGAGTTGGGCAGTCATTACTGGCTTCAAACAACCGATGAGGAGGTCTATGACTCAAGTAACACAGGCCGTCTCTAGGAGCTAGAAACCACAAGAAATAAGTTTCCCTCTAGACTCAGGGAACAAAGCCCTGCCAATGTCGTGATTTCAGCCTCATAAGACTCATGCTGGGCTTCTAGCCTACGGAACTCTACGGTCATAAATGCATTAAGTCACTAAGTTGCTAGTAATTTGTTGAGACAGCAGTAAAAACTAATGTATTGCCTCCTGCAGTTTTTCTAAATATTGCCACTCTGTCACATTTTTCCTTCTGCACTATGAAGCTAGGGTTAAGTTTGGCTTTCTGGTTCCTTATCTTATCAAGTCTAATTCCTGTATTTCTTTTTCCCAATTAAGAGTGGCCCTGGCCACTAAGACCACCTGGTTTGATTTGGTTTCCCAACTGGAGGAAAACAACAAGCTCTCCTTTTTCTTTGGTGCAAAAAAAAAAAAAGAAAAAGTTTGTTGTATCAATTTTACCCATTATGATGAGAAAATACAGATATGTGTTACATGTGCTCCCAATCTTGCCCCAAACAATAAGTAGCATGTACAAGATCAAATTCTAAAATACATTTTAATAAAATCCTAGAAACACGTTTCTAGAACAGTATTCACATTATTAGACATTTGGAGAATTTAAATATATATTTGAATCAAACTATATAAAGTGCTTTTAATGTTCCCAGTGCCAGTATTTCTAAATTCCCTCTTTTGCAAAATTTGGCTTGTCAACTTTTGGAGTCTTAAACCTCTTTGCTAAACTTATGAATTCTTTGTGAATCTATAGACCTTCTGCCAAAAATGTTCATACATATACATAAACTTTTTTGTACGCACTAAGTGCACAAAACCTCTAAACCCTATCCAATTTAAACACCCTTAAGCTTAAAGAAAAATTACTTTGATGAGGAGGAATCTAAACCATTCCTGAATGACAAAACCCCACTACTCAGAAAGCTAAACCTCAAACCAATACAGAGGGCAAGTAATAACTACAAATAAGAATACGAAACCTTTCAATATGTTGTATGCCAGATGATAAACACCTGAAAGTCCCCCAAGATAAGACCCAAGAATGAACTATTTGGAGGGGAAATAATAAATTTTCTTTTTGTTGTTGTTGTTGTTTTCATTTTCTATTTGTTTTTTTTGTTTTTTGGTTCTTTTAATCGTTTTATTAGGGGCTCATACAACTCTTATCATAATCCATACATACATCAATTGTGTAAAGCACATTTGTACATTCATTGCCTTCATCATTCTCAAAACATTTGCTCTCCACCTAAGTCCCTGGCATCAGCTCCTCATTTTTACCCTTCTCTCCCGCTTCCTCCTCCCTCATTAACCCTTAAAAATCTTTAAATTATTCTTTTGTCATATCTTGCCCTGTCCAACATCTCCCTTCACCCACTTTTCGGTTGTCCATCCCCCAGGGAGAAGGTCAGATGTAGATCCTTGTAATCGGTACCCCCTTTCCAACCCATCCTCCTTCCACCCTCTCAGTATAGCCACTCACACCACTGGTCCTAAAGGGATCATCTGCCCTGGATTCCCTTTGTTTCCAGTTCCTATCTGTACCAGTGTACATCCTCTGGTATAGCCAGACTTGTAAGGTAGAATTGGGACCATGATAGTAGGGGAGAAGGAAGCATTTAGGAACTAGAGGAAAGTTGTATGTTTCATCGTTGCTACATCGCACCCTGACTGGCTCATCTCCTCCCCGAGACCCTTCTGTAAGGGGATGTCCAGTGGTCTACAAATGGGCTTTGGGTCTCCACTCCACACCACCACCCTCATTCACTATGATTTTTTGTTCTGATGATGCTTGATACCTGATGCCTTCAACACCTTGTGATCACACAGGCTAGTGTGCTTCTTCCATGTGGGCTTTGTTGCTTCTGAGCTAGATGGCCACTTGTTTACCTTCAAGCCTTTAAGACCCCAGACGCTATATGTTTTGATAGCCGGGCACCATCAGCTTTCTTCGGCACATTTGCTTATGCACCCATTTGGCTTCAGCGATCATATCAGGGAGGTGAGAACAGAATGATATGACTTTTTGTTCTTTGGTGCCTGATAACTGATCCCTTCGCCAATGAGGGATCACACAGGCTGGTGTGCTTCTTCCATGTGAGCGTTGTTGCTTCCAAGATAGATGGCTGCTTGTTTACCTTCAAGCTTTTAAGACCCCACACGCTATATCTTTTGATAGCTGGGCACCATCAACTTTCTTCACCACATTTACTTATTCACCCGCTTTGTCTTCAGCGGTTATGTCAGGAAGATGAGCATCATAGAATGCCAATTTAATAGAAGAAAGTATTCTTGCATTGAGGGAGTACTTGAGTGGAGGCCCAATGTCCCTCTGCTACCTTAATACTAAACCTATAAATATATGCACATAGATCTATTTCCCCATTCTCATATATAAATATATTTACATATATGCATGCCTTTATTTAGGCCTCTATAAATGCCCTTTGCCTCCTGGCTCTTTCCTTTATTTCCTTTGACTTTCCTCTTGTCCCACTATCATGCTCAGTCTTCATTTGGGTTTCAGTAATTCCTCTTGGTTACATTACCCTTGATCACGCCCTACCAAGGCCTCCTACACCCTCCTCACCTCCAATTTGTATCACTTGTTGTTCCCTTCTCCCTGGGTTTGTTAACACCACTACCTTTCCTCCCACCTCCCCCTTCTCCCATGTCCCCCGGAACTGTCGGTCCCGTTGTTTTCTCCTCCAGATTGTTCATCCAGCCTATCTTATTTAGACAGACCTGCGGAGATAATAACATGCACAAAAGCAAGACGGAGCAAAACCAAGCAACAATATACAACAAAACAACAACAACAAACCAATGCCAAAAAACAAAACACAACAAGAAAGAAAAGCTTGTAGTTAGTTCAAGGATTGCTTGTTGGCCTTTAAGAGAGTTGGGAAGAATGATTTTCCTGTTTCAAATCAATAATTGTTTTACTATGTAATCCTTGTACGGTAGTAGATTCTATGAAGGATGTGGAAGAAGTATAAGACATAGTTTTTGCCCCCAGGAAACTCAGACTTTCATTGGCGAGAGAAGACAAAGATTAAAAAACAATTAAATAAAATAAAGACAAGGCAGAATAGGCAGTTCCCAGGTTGAGTGTCCAATGTCCACCTTACATACAACCAACAAGTTGGTGATGAACCAACTTCCATAGAGCCTAATATATTACAAATTCAAGGCACACGCAATAGTTTGTAATAACAAATGGATGCTACTTTACAATGACATAAAACATTTATTATTATTGCTGTCATTGTTGTTACTGTATTGGGAGGGAGGCCAATCTCAAAAAGCTCATGCACAAATTTCCTTTTTTCCCTTTGTTTCTTTATCTATTTATTTTCCATTTTATTGGGAGCTCTTACAGATAATATAACAATCCATAGTTCTATTAGATTAAGCATGATTGTACACTTGCTGCCACCATAATTTTCGAAGCATTTTCTTTCTTCTTGCACTCCTTGATACTAGCTCCCTTTACTTCCCCACCTCACCCA